AAAACAGTCGCACGTCAAACTTTGGAAAAATGATCAGAAAGCAAAAAAATCAACGTTTGTTTCGTTTAATTTTCTGTTTTCTTTTTAACTAAGTTATTGAACTGTGTTGTATACAGCAGATATGGCTAAATTGTTGCGTAACTTTACGTTAAATGTTATGGCAATTTAAAAGCGACAACAAAAATTGTTCAGGTAATATAATAAAAAAAGAATAGGTTGTAATAAATTCTACTAAAACAAACAGAGTTAGTAGTTTTTGATGGCTATACTGTTGTATTCTGTAGTGAACAAATTGCACAACATAATTGCTTTACGGAGGCATACAAATGTTAAAGGCAAACATCGGTGGTCCACTTTCTTCACTGGCACTCCTAAGCAACAAGCTGAAACTGTTTTACCAGTAATCATTTCCCTTCTTTTTTTTGCTTCCAATTTTTCGCTCTCACTGACGGCTCTAATTTTTTTTTGTATTTTCCTAATAAAGACATAAAAAAATTTATGGTATATTTAAAAATTAGGCTGGCATAATGGGATACACACCACTTGTACTAAATGCAACTTGGCCAACTATATTTACACATTTTTGTCTTCACATTTATCAATGGCTTCTACTTTTTCATTTTTTTTTATTTATTGTACTGTCAGTTACGATGCAATAAGAATAAAATGCAGAATTTTTTGATAATGACAGAATAATTTTTTTAAAGAATCATCAATTTTTATCCAAAATTCAGTTGGTCATTGAAAGTCTGACAAACAAGAAAGTTTTTTTTTGTAACTGTTGTCAGCATACTTTTGCTCCACTCATTTTTTTTTTTGTTACAGTCATTTGATTGTGTTTGCTTTACAAATGATATTATTGCTGTTTACTATATGACACCTCAAAACCATTTGGATTTATTCAAATACTTGAGAGAAACAAGAAATTTACAATTTTTCAGTAAGCTATTATACAAAATTTTATAAAAATAAGATGAAAACTTCAATATTTATAAAGTTGCTTGTCATTTTTCAAGACATATTTAATTTTTGATTTTTGACGAACTTTTGAAAAGTGAAATAATACCTTGACAGCTGACCAAATATAAAAAAAAAATTCACAAACCGATTTAACTACAGCGTTATATCTTATCTTTAACCATTGCTAATCAACCGTATGACTGAATAACGATCAACCTTTCAGTTTTTACGGCGGTGACAAAACTGGTGTTAGTGCGCAGTTTTTGTTCCCGTTTTCTTGAAGAGCTTGCTTAAGCTTCCTTATCCAGTTAGGATAAGGTTTTCTTTTAGGTGGTGCTGTCAGATAAACTAATGATCTGTTTTCTTTCTAACAAAATAAACAATTATATTAATAACCATTGTTTATAAGTGCCCTATACTGATGTTGCTGTACGTTGTAGGCAGCTAAATTTTCAAAAATAAGATATGAGAAGATGTCAGCAGTGGTAAGGCGGAATTGTGCCGCATTCAAAATGCTTATATAAGTTGCTAATCTTGAATTTTTGACTGATTAAGTTATTTCAGCTGTTAGTTATTTGTAACCGTTACATGCACTTGTCGATTCTTATGAAGCTTCTGTTACCAGCAAATTTATTGGGCTTTCAGTACAGAGGAACGTTATCTTTGATCAGGAAAATCATAGCTTTATTGGGCTAATCAATTGAATAAATTGTTTTTTTGAAGAAAATTCAAGAAGGTTTCGGCAGCTGAAGCCGCTTATTATTTTATCAATACTACAAAAACTAAAATTTTACCTTGTTTTCTTCTTTATTTTTTTTTTTTGTTTTTTATGCAGCAATTTTCAATTATTTTTACCAGACATTATGATTGCTTATTGAATAATGTTATGACTACTCATTGTCCACCACTTTTTCTCCTAAATTCGTATTCAAAATTTGATTGTAACTGCTATAGTGTTATGGAAAAAATGAATCGTCATGCTTTTCACAACTTTGCGTTGTTTGACGTGCAATTGTTGTTTGGAAAAAAAGTTGCTAATCTTTGTTCTTCATTTATCTATCACATGCTAAGCAAAAAAACTAATGAAGCTAAAAAATTTACATTGAATAGAGTGTGTAGAATGAAAGATAAAAGTAAAAAAAAATTGGAAAAACAAACCAGACAAAATTTGTAACGCCTAAAATACTACACTGAAACAACAGATCAATCTAAAGTTGTTAGATTGGCTGAAAAATTTTTCCTACTAATCTTATGGTATTTTCTTTTAAATTTTCTTCTGCACCTTCTTTCTGTAACAAAAATCTGCTGT